CATCAAGGTCCGGGTAATGAACACTGCCTTGCCAAACAAATAAAACAGCTGGACCATTTCAGCAGGGAAGATGAATTTTATAGAGTACTTTTCAGAAAGAAGTAATGAATGGAATGGCGTGAGAAACTGAAGTCAAATTCAGGTATATTACTGCAGCAACACAGAAAATTATAGCTACGGGGTGCAATAGGAACATTTTGAAGCTACACAGAAGCTGATGAACATTTTCATGATCCCAGGCCAGGACCCAAGTTTTATAATCTGCTCAGGAGCCAGTAACTGTTGTTTTGAAATAGTCAAAATTAGAAATCCCAGTTACTTGCTTTGCAAATAAAGCATCAAGATTTCACACTTTCAAACATGCAGAAGTTTTACTATATACAAGTTCACAAAGCAAATAGTCGATGCTATCTATCTTATACTAAATTAACATGATTTACAACACATCTGCTGACACCAATGCTTGTATTTCAATGCCAACTCTGTATTTTTTCAGACTACATGCAGTTTAATTTCTTAATCTTTTTCATCATCAAATGCCTTTATCCCCCCTTTTCAGATGTTTGTCAGTTTTGTATTACTCTTTTTATTTAAATACCTTTAAAACATCTCACTGCTAGTGTGCATGATCCTGGGAGTCAGCAAGCATAGCCCTTGAATTAACAAATTGTGGTGGACACAACAAAAGCAGATTCCACAAACATTCTCTACAAACCACTCAGACGTCCGTGAGTCGCAAAAGGTCTTCCATGTTTTTCTCCTCTTTGAGGTGTTTCAGCTCTTTTCTTTTGAATAGCTCGCCAGCTTTCTTTAAACAGCAACTACATTCAGCCTGGTGGTCTTCCCAGCTTCCCTTTGGCCTGCACGATGTTGGCAGGCAAGATGTCCCAGAGTGCCCCAAGGGCGAAACAGTGGCTCAGTGGTTAGCACTGCTGCCTCACAGCGCCAGGAACCTGGGTTCAATTCCACTCTCAGGCAACTATCTGTGTGGAGTTTGCACATTCTCCCCGTGTCTGCGTGGGTTTCCTCCGGGTGCTCCGGTTTCCTCCCACAGTCCAAAGATGTGCAGGCTAAACGGATTGGCCTTGCTTAAATTGCCCATAGTGTTCAGGGATGTGTAGGTTATAGGGGGATATGTCTGGGACTGGGTGGGATGCTCTGAGCGTCAGCGTGGACTTGTTGGGCTGAAAGGCCCTGCTTGCACACTGTAGGGATTCTATGATCTATGATGACTGCTCACCAACCTGTCACTTTATCTTTTATCCTGAGATGACATCCCTGTAGATTCACAGACAGTTATTGGTGCCTCCCCAAATTAGGTGCTAAATTGCAATGGCTTCGTACCAAAAACATGCAGCGAAAACCCATTCCAAAAATATTGATTCCCTCACTGTGATTTGGGTTCCTAAGAATATCATTGACATTAAGGCACTGAACATTTGTGTTCTAGATATTTTCTGATCAACCTGTTCAGAGATTTTATGACATACCTCTGAAGCACATAGGACCTGAGCATGGGGTCTTCTGGGCCAGAGGCAGTGATACAACCCCTACACCACCAGAACGCCATATTATTTGGGTTCTAATTTTGGAAAGATAACATCACAAAACTTTATTGTTCCAATTCAGAAAATCGAAGGCCCATTTCTTCCCTCAATCATGGATAATCTATCTGGTCATTGCTGATTTAATTCAATCTGTTGAAACGCACGAAAACAACACTGTTTGGAAATACTTCCTGAACACCAAAGCAAACTCCAGCCTTGCATCTGAGGGACTCAAGTACTTGCAATATGCTATATACTTGTTAAATGATAACTGACCAAGGTGTGTTGAAGAAACATCCACGACTACCATTGTGAAATATGTAGACTTGGAAATTTTGCAAAGTCTATCTTAATGTGGGAGACCAGTAGAAGGATCCAAAGCTTTTATCAAGACCTGCCTGTAAAATCATTCAAGAAGGCTGTATGCCCCCACTTTAACAGGGTTTATTGTCATGCCATTCTATCCAGGCATCCTGGGGTTGAGAAATCTTGACAAATAAAAGGAGATAACAAAGTGTACAGCTGAAGGAACACAGCAGGCCAGGCAGCATCAGAGGAACAGGAAAGCTGACGTTTCAGGTCAGGACCCTTCTTCAGAAACAGAAATTTTCCTGCTCATCTGATGCTGCCTGGCCTGCTGTGTTCCTCCAACTCCACACTTTGTTATCTCTGATTCTTACTGTCTCAGTGAAATAAAAGGAGAGTTGGATCAAGGAAGGAAATGCTTTACAGTACTATTTGAGGTTTTGGAACAGCAAAAGTGTTTGGCTGCCACCAATAAACCTTCCACCTTTTACTGCAATCTCACCTCATGACTACTCCCACCCCAATCCCCAGTAATTCTGAACTCCAACTCTCTCCAAACCTCTGTGATTTCCTGTATAACTAGCATCCTCTCTGATTACTGCTGGATGTCTCAGAGCCAGTTCTTCCATGTTCCCTGTACATTTTCATCACTGCTTTGTGTAAATATATAGAACTATATCATGCTTGTGAGCTAACCACATATCAGTCATTGACTGGTGTATCATGTTCTTTGTCAGGCAGCTCACTGGGGAATTCTGATAAGATTAACTTTTGGGCAGGTGATTGACATGGCATGTTATCCTATAACTAATCCTAAAAAATTGTGACATGTACCCTGCACAGCATGATTTGCAGCCTGTATACTTCAAATTCGTATAAAAATCCCAGAGGCAGAAAACATGCCAGTTTATGAGCAGATCTGAGTAGTAATAAATCTCTTGCACTAGTTACACTGCACAATAATGGGACAAGCAGAGGATCCCTGAAATCGAAAATGCATGTGGAGCAAAAAATAGCTGTCAGAGCGCCATTTCTAGATTAAAGTTCTTGACATTTCCATTTGTTTGGGGTTGGATTTTGCCCCAAATGTAGGCTGAGTCTTCTACGTGCACACATGTCTAACATTGAGCAGCTAAAATGAGACTACAACTGCCGTGCAAAGTAATGGGTAGCAGATTGATTATCCACTGTATTCAATTGAAATTTAAATTGGTTGTAAAATAGCTATTTGTATCACTACCACTTGTTTTGCAAATCCACTGAAGTGTAATTTTACCCCCATCCAATTTACTCCATTGTTTAACAAATATAGCATACATTTTAATTTGTTCAAACTTATACTTGCCTTCAATTTTCTTCTACAAAATGCATACATTTTGTTATGTTATCCCTCCCATTTGTGCCCCTCCTCAACAGTGGGATCAAACTTCCTTTGCATTATACTTTAATGTGGAAATTTAACGTTTTAACACAGATCCATAGCTCGGATTGTAGTTGGAGTTGATGGTTGGTTTGCCGAGCTGACTGGTTTTTGTGCAACTGTTTTGTCTCCCTTCTAGGTAACATCTTCAGTGCTGTGCAGCATTGTCAACCACAAGGGAGACAAAACGTTTGCATGTAAACCAGTCAGCTTGGCAAACCAACCTACAACTCCAATGTGGAAATTGCTTAACTTGCACGTGATCCTCCAGCCAATGTTGATTAGCAAATCTACCTTTTTATCATTTTGCCTTGACCGGGATTCAAAATTTGTGTGTCTGTATTTTTAAAAATAATCATCATGTGGGTTTGAATGTGCTTGGGAAGGGTTTGAGTTTTGTGTCCGATAAGGGTTCCAAACCGTCACAGGACAGAAATTAATACTCTTGATCCCCTGATGAGCAATTCAGAATGTAAAAAATTGCTGACTTTGCCACAAACAAATATAAGAAAAATCTAATTAATATTTGGAGAGCTATCTGCCCGATGGGTTGTTTAACTTCTTTCAAGATTTTTTCATTTCAAGTTGGCAATTTGCTGTTGGCTTTCCAATAGAAAAAAAATAATCTCAATAACAAAATCATGGAAAAATAATTTCATTAAGATCTTTAGCTATCATCATGGCACAAATCTTGCTCTGGTTGTTAGTAAGTTTCAGGGTTTTATTTTGCAAAAAGTTTGATGTAATGATAAATTTCTACTGAGCTATACATTCTTCTCGCAATTGCAAAGTGTGCTTTTACTTTGTTTCTCCCTAAAAATGAATTGAAAGTTGCTAAAGAAAATCTTTAGGTTTATTTGTCATTTCTATTGAATAAACAGATTGCATATTTATTTAGTAACAGTGTAAACTAACAAAACATGTGTTAAATTTGACATTAGCAAGCGCAGTTGTTCATCACATACAGATTAGGGGATTTGGTGATGGGCAAGTATTTAATTTAGAAATTGTGGCCTTATATCCCATAATAGGCCATAATAGATCACCAATTAATGGGGACAGTTACTTCCAACAAGACCATTGCAAAGAAATGCGCTATGCATGATCCAGTGTAGCATCCCAGAAAACAAAATGAGTCATGAGGGCAGGTCATACTGTGTTTAGAAACTGGTCTGTTGGGCAGGTAGAACTCCACCAGTAATTAGCTTTCAGTCTGCGCAGCCAGATGGCTCATACTATCTGCACTGTGCATTCTGAGATCCTGTGCAATGAGCAGTGCTCCACGACTAGGGAAAACACGTTATGTACCTTGGCAGATGCTGTGATTCTCTCTGTTTCAGAAAAGGCTGCTTCACTATTGGTAGGTACAGCCTTTGCCAGCACAAATGAAGCCTAATGGCTAAATGTATTTCACTTGCCTGCAGTCATCCCTTAGTAAAGGAGTAACTTTAAAGTGCCAGCAGTTCAGTAGTGCATGTAAGAAACTATCCTTGGCATATTAGAAAAATGAGAAATAGCAGAAGCCTGGTTGACTTAAAGCCCTCAGGTGATCCTGAGTGCTTTGCCATGAAGGCTGCCCTTCTACCAGTCTTTTGGTCAATGCCATGCAGCATGCTGTAAGTAATTTCTGAATAAACAAGTGACACTTGACTATCTCTATCAGTGTTACTTTAGTTTGAGTAAGCACAAGACTGTTTGATTTTCTGTTTTATTTCTTGTTGTGACAGCTGCCTGTGGTGGTAATCTGACAGGCCCTGCGGGTGTCATTTTATCGCCTAACTACCCTCAACCTTATCCTCATGGGAAAGAATGTGACTGGAGAATTAAAGTCAATCCAGACTATGTCATAGCACTGATATTTAAAAGGTAATTGCAAAATCTTTCTCATTTAAAAACCATGCAGCGCAATTGCATTCGATATGCTGCTGTAAAGAGACAATACCTTTTAATGTTAACATCCTTCTTTTTATGATGTGCGACAGCAAAATTAAATATTTCTGCCTTATCTCCATTTGATCTTATTTATTTTGTTTTAGTTTCCACATGGAGCCCAGCTATGATTTCCTTCATATCTATGAAGGGGAAGATTCAAACAGCCCTCTAATTGGCAGCTTTCAAGGATCACAGTCACCCGAGAGAATAGAGAGTAGTGGTAATAGCCTTTTTCTGGCCTTTCGAAGTGATGCCTCTGTCAGCATGGCAGGATTTGCCATTGATTACAAAGGTACTCGTTTCCCCACTATCTGATTGAGTGTTTAAATACTTAACTACCTTTAGGTTCTGAAACTTTAGTCTGCACATTCTGTTTGACAAAGTGACATTTTAAAAACCCAAGGGTTCTTGCAGAAATTGTGGTGTTTAAATTTTTAGCTCATCTCTGTTTCTATGTTAATACAAGTGTTCATTGACTTCCAGAGATTATGTTTTCCTCATATATTAGGAGGAACAAGAATACCAATATTTGGATCCAAAAAATTTCCACCATATTTATCTGTACTTAGCATTTTTAAAACGTTCATCATGTTTAATCAAAAGCAACCATACTTTATTTTATGACATAATACATGTTCTATATGTTGTTAGTCAAAATAAATTTTACAGCAAGTGATTTTTTTTGTATTTGTGAAGAATCAGAAATGAAAGTAGAACATCTTCTGAATGGGCTGTAGATCAGGTAGTATCTGAAAGAATAACTTAAATTTAATTTTTCACAATGAATCCTAATTGACGGCTTTATCGAAAACATTGACTTATGTTTCAGATGCAGACTGTCCTGTTGTCAGTTTCTAAAGAGTTTCTTCATATGTCCTCCTGAACATTTCATTGTATCACAAAACATTTGAATGTAAACTTTGTCACAACCAAGTGGAGGGGAAGGTTGAACAAAATATCTTCACATTCATTAGAAAGAGCATTATTTGTGGTTGTTAGACTTGCTGTGTGTAAAACAAAATGATTATTATTTTTATCCAAGAGGTATATTTAAATTTGTTTTTGTTTGAAATTAGCAATGCAGTGTGAATCTCTAACCAGTTATTATGGTAGGTGTTTGGGCCAACTTCACACCTGATGTATTGGTCACCAGTGGATATTCCCCATGCAAAGGCTAAGAACCCCTGCACAGTGAGGCAGAGGATCAGTGGGAGCTCTCATACTGCCCTAGTAACTATTTATATTGTCACTGCAACAGAGGGAGGTTTTGGCTTGCGTCTAGCCTCATCTATTACGTCTATTCATAGCTGTGATATTGTCAAGAGGAAGTATGAAGAGAAAAGTGAAATATTTCAAAGTCATGAAAAAATATCCTGTTAGTTTGCATCACTGTATTCTTTAGTTGCAAATGTCTGACATTCCTGCCATTGGGTGAAGCTATGTTAAAATGCAGTTGGGTTTCAGAGCTACTATTAGTTCTACATCTTGGCAGGCTCTGTTGCAAAGTGCCAACTCTTAGCTCAGAGATAATAAGAACTGCCGATGCTGGAGTCAGAGATAACACAGTGTGGAGCTGGAGGAACACAGCAGGCCAGGCAGCGTCAGAGGAGCAGGAAAGTTGACATTTCGGGTGAGGACCCTTCTTCAGAAATGGGTCCAACACTTAGCTTATGCTTTTAAGCTGGTTTTCCTTCTTACCTTACTGTTGCTGGTGTAAACTTACACAAGCGCCAACAGGCATCTGTGGTTTCACTCAAACAACCATTCTACATGAGTGAACTAGTGCAGTATATGTGTTTGATGTATACGATTATGAAAGGTATGTAACCGAGCCTGATCCTGTTCTGATTTGAGCACTGGACTACAGTCGGGAATAGGAATCCTGGTTAACTTCACCTTCTTGACTGCTGTCCTGGGTAAGATTGGCTGACACAGAATTGAACCTGTTATGCTATAATGTGTGACACATTGACAAGTAATCTTTTTGAATTCTTGTGCACAGCAGCAAAATCTAACTTCTAAAATCCAGTTATCAGCTTTTTCTGCTTTTCTGTTATCTGCCTAGCCCCATTTCATTGATTTCTTTTTCCTTTTGTGATGTTTAACTTTGTTCCCTTATCTTACAGAGAAACCTCGAGAGGCTTGTTTTGATCCTGGAAACATAATGAATGGGACACGCATTGGCTTGGATTTTAAGCTCAGTTCCACTGTTACCTATCATTGTGATCCTGGCTACCAGTTAGCAAATGTTGCTACAATCACTTGCATTATTGGGGAAGATGGGAAGCCGGTCTGGAATAGGGCTCTACCTTCTTGCCATGGTAATGTGTAAATTTAATTAAATGGGCAAGGATGCCATATGTATTACAATGTGTAACGATAACAGAAATTAGTTACTCTCCAGCAAATCTTCGCCTTTCCTCATGACTATTGGCAATATTGCACAGACTCTATACTGATGTAAAGCTAAAAATGTTGAGCTATATTTTCTAGGGGAATGGTTTGGAATTTATTCAGAGTTATCTTGCTCCCTTTGCCATTTGGCATTCTGTTGATGATTGAACGTAAAGAACTTTAGGATCACACATCTTCCTACACACTATGAAGTGAAGATATTTTATTGGCTAACCTATTAGGCATTCCCCTGCTTTTGATTATCATGGATGACTGAGGAAAGGCGAAGAGGGAGGAGGCACTATGCTTGAAGTGCCACAGTTTAAGATTGAAACAAGAGTAAGTGGGGAAAATAAACAACTTGCATTTCTTTTACACTACAGTGGTTGTATTACCACATTATGATCCCGTTATATCATTTGTGACAATGAATGTCTCGCTTCTTTTAATTTTCTCACGTTTTTCAAAAGTCCAAGGAATCTCACTAGAACAACAGGAGGTAATGTTTATAGCACGGTCATTCTGGACAAAATCATGAAGTATTGTTTCACACAAAAGCTAGTACAAATCTGGAACTTGTCCCTAAAAGGGTTGGTTGCTGCAACAATTGGATGTTTACTGAAATACTTTTGTTTATTTTTGATCAGGGTTTCAGGGATATAGAGCATTGGTGGGGAAATGGAGTTGATATGCAGATTGACCATGATCAAATTGAATAATGCTGCATGTTTTAGGGACTGAAGGACCTCCCCTTTCCAATGTTCCAATATTCATAACTCAAAGCTGTGGACTATCTGGTCCACACCTTCCTGTTTCCAGGTGATCAGAGACCAGATGTGCCTCCCAACATAGGCTATAGGATCTCTTGGACATCCCAATGTAAGGACTGAGTGTACAGGAACTTTGAATTTCCGATGGACAATTTGCTGCTTCCCGAGACCCTCTGAGAAAGTCTGAGTTGGATTGGGAGATGTTGAATGGTTCCACCATATTTACACGAATAGTTAAGCAGGAGATGTAAGACAGAAAAAAGATTCTAGTCTAATTCCTGGTTAACTATTTAACGGAATCCCCAAATCACATTTGCTTAACCTACTCCACCTCTAACCTTGCTTTCCTCTCAATACCCACCTCCATAGCCTACATCCTTGACATTTTCCATCAACATTTCTGACTTTTGCCTCCTAACAACGTTCTCCAGACACTCCCAATTCACTGGTCTAGCCTATGTAGCTTTGATCTATTCAGCTCCCAATCTCTCACCACCTCCCTTACTCACCCAAAATGACCCCAGAGATTTAAAAAAGACATGAGAGGGAATTTTTTTTTTACGCAGGGTGGTTTGCATGTGGAATGAACTTCCAGAGGAAGTGTTGGATGCAGGTACAATTACAACATTTAAAAGACATTGGATAGATATATGAATAGGAAATGTTTAAAGGATTATGGACCAGGAGCAGGCAGGTGGGACTAGTTTATTTTGGGATTATGTTCGGCATGGACTTGTTGAAATGAAGCATCTGTTTCCATGCTGTATGACTCAATGACTCTATGGCCTAACGTCCCTCCTACACCCTCCACTGTTCTTCTGAAAAACCCCACTACCCACAGACAACTGCATCCATGGCCTGACATCTGACTCAACCAAATACCATCTGACTCAACCAACTTCCCACCCCAAAACCCACCTAGACATCTGCCATCCTACCCCTCCTCCTGCACTTACTCACCTACCCATATCATCCACCGCTAACCCATCTCCCTGTTCACTTAAATTACCAAACCTAATACCACACCCAACCAACATTTCTGTTCTGTAGCTTTTGCAAAAAGCATTAGGACATTTAATATCTTTACTTAATTCAAAATTTCAACTAGCGCTATCAAAAGAGGGCATGGGCTCTAAGCAGATTCTCTGCGCTGCTCTCTTTGAAGTTTTCTGTGTTGATTTGAATGTGAAAGATCCCACACCAGAGCATCACTCAGCAAAATCAGCAGAAGCTAAATGGGTGACTTTTTTTTTGATCAAGGTCAGAATAGAGTTTGGTTTGGAGTTTTCTTTGCTGAATCCCAATTCCTTCCTCCTGTCTGGAGACTTTTAAAACACCATCTTAGCTGAAATAATCACTGCTTTATGATGTAAACATTACTTCTTTTACTTTTTTTTTAAATTGATCATTGCTGTTCCCATCGCCTTGGCCTCTATCTGTCTCATATTGACCCAGAATTGCTGAAGTGGGACATCTCATGGGGCGTAGACAGTGAAAGGTGAGTTTTCACAAGGAGTGAGGTGTGATTGCAGATTTGCAAGGATGGAAGCAATACTGGAAGAGACAATAACAACAGAAAATGTTGGAAATACACATCAAGTCTGACAGAATTTGTGGGCATCAATATTTTGGGTTGATGGCTTTTACAGTATTGGTTAATGTGGAGGCCCTGAGGAGAAGTAGGGTGATCGTTTTGCAACATATTTGCAAATGCAACATTTGACTATCATTTGTAGGAAACAATGCTTTCAAAATTACAAGAATGCAAATCATAAATTAAGTGGATTGTACAGATCTCTGCCTCAGACCCTCTCCAAACATTGATCCTTGAATTGGGATCTTTAATGATTTGTAAACTAATATCATTTGTAAACCATGTATATTTGTCTTTAATACAATCCAATAAGGTGTTAATCAGTGTTAAGTGCAGAAACGTATAGCACACAGGAGCATGGAAAATAGGAGCAGACATAAGCCATTCAGCCAACTGAGCCTTCTCCACCACTCAATGTGTTTATGGCTGATTCTCAGCCATAACACATACTCCTGCACTCTTCCCCTATTCTTGAAGCCTTTTGTGTCTGTTTATCACAATGAAAATGCAAAAACAAAATGATGAAAGCATTGAAAATAATTCAGACTACAATAAATAGAAGTGACATGCATAATTTCAACAGGAAAAGTAATTAAAATCCTAACCATTTTTTTTCTGTATAACTGCAGCCATAATTTTCCCAACAGAAATTACTGTCAGTTTCTGTTCATATACTTTGTAATACTTAATGAGGGCTTTCATCAAGTGATTGACAAAATCAACCTGCAAATGGGCTGTTCAGAGTCCTTTGTGGACTTTTCTGAAGTTATAAATGCCTTTTTTATTTGATTGGTGAAGATTATTTTAGAGCTTAGTTGTATTGTCTGCATATATTTGCTAAAACAGTTTAGAATACTGAAACTTACTGAATGTTGGGTTCCTTTCATAACCAAGCACTGCATAAAATCTAAACTCCATTCAGTATTCCTCCATGGGTAATCCAAAATTGCAGAAGGCTTGATTTTGAAAGAGTAGAATCGTTTGAACATGTGTGAAAAGTACTGTGAACTAATTTGTTACTTGACAGATTTACCTTTGGTTTCTGAATAGCCTACCATAGCTTTGTTCAACATTGCATAACAATCATCCTAAAAATCAAGAGCTGCATAATGATGCAGACAGAGAATGCAAGCAAAAGCAGCTGCATTATCCTTCATTTTTATATCTTTGACTAACAAGATTGTAGATTAAGCTGAAACAGCAGCTAAGAAGCACAGGTGCATTTCGTTGGTTACCAATATCTTATTTACATGATAGTCATTGATTATTCATGAAGAGGATTCATGTTAACTTGTACATTTTCACGTATTGCAGCCAGTAAAGATGACCATTGCAATTATACTTGTTGAGGGATTATACTCATAACCTTTATTTTACTTTCTGAAGAATATAGGACTAGATATATTGTTAAGATCTTAAATTGCCGCACTGGTATTGAATATGTTGGGCAGCATGCACATTTGGCACACCCACTTGAGACTCAAAGTATTGAGGGTCTTGCTGCTAACCAGAAAGCCCAAAAGGAACCCTCCATTGTATTTTTTAGATAAGGCTGTTGCATTCAGTGGTAACCACATGCATTACAGCTATTCAACAAGTAAGCTCATCACAAACTTTTTACAGGAAATTGCAGACACTTTCTGTTTTTGTTACATTACTAATAGTTATTTGTTTGTACAGAGTAGTCCGAGTGGTAGTACTTGAGTAGTCAGTTTGGCTCAGTTGGCTGGTGGCTAGTTTGGAATGCAGAGTGGCACCAACAGCATGGGCCTATTTCCTGCACTATCTGAGGTTATCATGAAGAACGCTTCTTCTCCACTTCTCCCTTCATCAGAGGCCTGGTAACCCTCAGGTAAAACTCACCACCAGTTCAAGTCGCTCTGTAGAGAGAGCCCTATGTTCTGGCAGCACTATGTTGACTTTGCCCTCTATCCTTGATTGCTAATTAAAAAATAAAATTTGTTGATGCTTCTTGTGCAACAATAATCAAATTCTATTACCGTTTAATAAGGGAACATCAAGAAACATGTTTTTTCTTAGTTACAGCTTCCAAGTGCTATTTGCTAACTTGCATTTATTTATTTAATTTTTTTTCAGCTCCTTGTGGTGGACAACACACTGGATCTCAAGGAGTGGTTCTTTCTCCTAATTATCCTCACAATTATACGAGTGGCCAGACATGTTTGTACTCCATCACAGTGCCTAAGGAGTTTGGTATGTTTATTTTACTTATAGATTGATATTAGAAGAGTTGATTCAGGAATTAGTTATTTTCAAACACCATCTGCCTCCATGCGAAACATACCCATTCCAAATAATTACATTACATAATAATGCTCAGTTCCTCACAAAACTTAGCACCCAGTTAAAATCCCAAGGGAAATTAAGAAATAACTTGTCACTGTGTCTCTCTTGGGGTAAAACATTTGTACGAAAAAGAATCTAATTGAATTGATTCATATACACAGCATGAAAACCTCAAGTACTGTACATACAATGCAAATATAGATGAAGTTAGATGGAGAACTATTTCACGGCAGCAAATAACTCAGTAGCACTTTATTAATTAGCTGTGATTTGCAACTGCCTTTATCAGAGCGAGAAAAGGGTCTACAGGATTTGATTTTATATTGTTTCACATTCATGCTTCTGGCTTCAGTTTACGTAAAAATTACGATATCCTACCTTGATTGGAATACTGTATTCACCCTGTTGCAAATATTCTGTATGTTGCTGTTAGTGAACAAATACAGAAATGTCAAGCCAAAGTGAGTGAAATTCGACCCTTTGGTTACGCTGTCATTAGAGAGAATGAAGAAAAAGCGAGGTGTTGAGATTGAGAAGTTCGATTATCAATGTACCAACAGTAAGGTAGAAGAGAAAAATAATCATGGTCGTATCTTTGAACCCACTTTCTGGTTTAAATTATATTCAGGAGCGAAAGAGGAGCAAAATTTTCTTGAAGACGCACAAGAAATCTAACTTAGAAATGTAATACTCACCTTCAATGTGGGATCCACAAACTAACATTACAACTTACCTCCACAAACCTCCCCACCCAACTCCCTACAGCCCCACCATCCACAGCCCCATTCAGGTATCTAGCACACTGGTTCCTGATAATTAAAGTTGGATCAAAACCGCAAATTTGAAACAGGCTCATCTCTGGGGGTGATACATCAGCTGCTCAGGGTAACATTGGAAAGTGATTGCTGGGGATAAGTGACTCCTGTTTTGTAACTGTTCCCTTCCATCAAATTTTCCGAACACAGGAAGAACAATTAAAATCAGGATCATTGTAACTCGGGAATCACAGAAAGCAGACACTGTGACACTGAAGCAAAAAGATAAAATGCTCGAAACATTCTATAGGCCAGATGACTGACAAAGTTGGTGAGAGCAGATCAGTTCATGTTTCCAGTATGAATCCTCCATCATAGTTCAGCTCCACCGAATATTATTTTCGAAAAGCTAGCAATACTGTAAAGAAATCGCTTTAAGTGAAATAAGTTACTTTTTTAGAATGGGGTAACTGTTGCTTCATAGACAAATGCACCATGCATTTTGTACATAGTCGAAGATTACAGTGACAGTAAAGTGAGCAAGAAGTTTCTGGTGGTATTGGAATGTTGCCCATTACACTGGAAAAAAGTGGAAGGATCTTATAATGTGCAACTGAATGATTAAACCAGACAGATAATCCATCAGTTCAATATCTCATTCGGATGGTATCGTGGAATAGTTACAACCAGTCCCCAGATGAAGTTCCCCAATTTGTTGTATTTACAGATGGGTTATCATAAATTGTTAAGTTCCTGGGTGAGGAAGGATGAAGTGGCTCATCTTTTTTATTCACTTGCCCCTTCAGTTGGTCGTGTTAATGTTAACTGAAAAAGAATTCCTTCCCTTGTGGATAACATTTTCCAAAACCACATGAATTTATATTTTAAAAAGCATCGATTTAACCAGGTTGCTTGAGTTAAAGAAAGAGTGAGTGGATTCGTTAATAAATTAGTAAATAAGTAATAATGCAAGACTTGTCTGTGTAGATTAGAAATGAGAAGTGTATCTAAAAATAGATGAAAGTTAAAAGCTACACTTGGTCAGTCTTTGAGTTGCATCATCAAACATCGGATCCCTACGGTGTGGGGACAGGCCATTTAGCCCAACAAGTCCACACCCACCTTCCGAAGAGAATCCCACTCAGGCCCATCCCCCTACCCTATCCTTGTATTTCCCATGGCTAATGCACCTAAACTATACATCCCTGAATACAATGGGCAACTTAGCATGGCCAATCCACCTAACTTGCACAACTTTGGGCTGTGGGAGGAAACGGAAGCACCCAGCAGAAACCTGTCCAGACACAGCAAGAACGTGCACAAACAGTGGCCTGAGGTTGGGCTGGCGCTGTGAGGCAGCAGGGCTAAGCACTGAGCCACCGTGCTGCACCCGTGGAGAGTTGATAGTGAAATAGTGCACCTGTTATTTTGGATGCTACCAGTAACATTAACATTGTAAGTTGAGCAGTCAATTTTGAGATTTTGAAGGATTGAAATTATTTTATCCTGTTTCTTGTCCTTACTGACCAGCTTGTGGCAAAAGAGAAAGGCATTTTTTAAAAAATGTAGTATATGGATCACTAGGGTTTTTGTCAACTATGACCCTCAAAGCATATGCCTTTATCCACGAGCATACATAAACCATGGTTGTTGAACTGACTGTTAACCCTTGTTCTCATATATTCTTGAAAGGGGAAAACATAGACATGTCTCTTACCCAGATAATTCTCTTTTCTTCCCATTATGTTCACAGTCTGAGAAAGTTTGCAGTTTACATTTCAGTGTGTAGTCTAATTTGCAGTTTGAAGTCATCTTTGAATCCTCCTTTATACCCATCAGTTGTAACATTCCATGGTCTCCCTCGAAGCTGGGGATAATCCACACAGGGCTTCTAGTGATTTATATTCTTCCCCAAAATTACATTCTGAGTCATTTGTTTGGCTGTTTGCCCTCTTTTTCAAAAAAAAATGTTGTACTTGAAAGTGCAGTATACCCATCTGTGTTACAAGGTTATGACCTGTTGGCGTGACAATAAATACACTTCTCTGTTCATTTTCTGAATCAAAATGTGGAAAACTAAAGATTGACTAATTGAATTTGTTGTCATTTACCAAGTCTGATTCAGCGTTTCTAAGAAATGCAGGTTTGAATCCCTCTGGTTAAGATTCTGATCCTGCCAAATGGAGTGTAGTGCCAAATGGAGTGTAGTGCCAAATTTTGAGGTGCAGCAGCACTAAGAAATGTCAATATTTAATGGTATGGCCAAGATAAGTGAAATATGGAAATTTTACCAATTTAAGCAAAGGCATAACAATTATAGCCTTGTATACTCACAATCACCTTTTAATGAAAAAAAACTGAAATACTTCAGCAAGGATGTAGGTAAAACTCTACCATAAATCAACATAAACATATTCAAATCTGCATTGCATGTCAATCGATTGAATACAAAGGTTATTATTCCAAAGCAGACTTTTCCAATCTTTTCACATGGGAGCCATATTGCAAGGGTGGAGAGCAGTGAGCAAATTTTGAAAAGCCAAGATTTTCCACAATAATAAACAAATTCCAGAGCAAAAAATTGAGCATTTAAATTAATGAGTAATAAATAAACATTACAATTAAAATGTACAAAGCAGCTGATCTTGTTAATGATTGTTTTATTTTTACATTCTCTCTGTTATGAAACAAAGTCAGAGAGACAGACTAGACCTCTAGTCTTGATCACCATGGAAGGGGTTGGGGGCTGGCACTGAGCTAAGGAGAAGAAGTTAAGTAAAACTGACAATGTGTTTGTCTCTGGTACAAATTCTGAGCTGGCATCTGTGTAATTCATATGGAAGTAGGGGTGAGAAACATGTTTCCATTCAGCCTGATTTTTCCTCTTTTCTCATCTTGCTTTGTTGATAGGTTTTCCACAAGAGGTAGAGGAAATAGGTGGGTCAGTGTCTGGCTTAGTATTTCATGCACACTCTCTTTTTGCCTCCTACATTTTGTCTCGATCCTCCCACAAACATATTCTCCCTTTCTCAATTTCTGCCTCTCACAACCTCACTGTCTCTGATCCCTCATTTTTGCTTTCTGTCTTTGCTTTTTAACATATGCATTATCTCTCTTTCTGCCTCCCTTTCTGTCTCTCTCTGTCTGCCTCCCACATACACACACACACACTCTCACGCAGTTAGGCACTACGCAAACTCAAAAGGCTTGTTCCACCATCTTTTAATGTAGTTCTACAGGAGGTCCACACCATTTTTAGCAAAGATGTCTTGTTTTTCTCTAAACTGCTTCCAGGCTCAATCCCAGGCCCTGCTTGCAATCTCAAACTGAAATCACTCAATACCTTCACACAACCCCACTAGCTGCCTTGACATCACAACCTCTCAAAGCCTCGACTCTGACCTGACTCATTACTGCAATCTCAGGCCCACTCACAGCCTTGACCCTGACCCCATTTGTTGCCTCAACCTTGACCCCATTCACTGCCTGAGGCCTGGGTACTGGGAGCAGTGGCAGATCTGCTGTGCTTGGTTTCTACAAGGGACAGGATGGATACTTGGCTAGTGCTTTTTTTTTATTATTACTGCATGCTTTTTTTGGTATTGGTCTAGTGGATAAACTAGTGTTCATGTTAAAGTCAGGGTTGGACGCTGCTGTGGAGGGTAGTTTCATGAGTTGATGCAATGTATCTTGTAGATGGTGCACACTTGTGTCACAGTGTATTAGTGGTAAAGAGAATGGGGGATTGGGTGTCCCAGCTGGTGTCAAACCTCTTGAGTATGTTGGAGCTGCACTCTTCCAGGCAAGTGACGAGTATTTCTGCACACTCCTGACATGTGTCTTTGTAGATGATGGACAGGCTTTGGGGAGATGGGAGATGAATTCTATGGCAAGTAACTCCAAGACTGTGATCTGCTCCTTGTATAAACAGTGAACATGCAGAACTGAGTTTTGTGTTAAATAATTGAAAATATCAAGGTGGCAATTTATAAAACATATGTGCACAAAAACATTTTGTTAGTTATAATGGCATGCTTGTTACATTGTCACATTTATCTTCAGTGCATCGCAGTAATGCTACATTAGCTCAATGGAAATCTATTGAGTTACAGCGATTACTTTGCTTAAATATGGCATGTTTAGTTATTGAAG